AGGAGAATCTCTTGAACCCAGGAGGCGTAAGTTGCAGTGAGCCGAGATCGCACCACTGCACTCCAGCCTGGGCAACAAAATGAGACTCCGTCTCAAAAAAAAAATTACCATCTCTAAGCCCAAACACCTTTGCTAAGTTCCAGACAACATACCCAACTTCCCATTTGATATTTCTTCTCAGATATCTCATCTAAACATGTCTGGAACTGCAGGATGTCCTCCAAACACCTCAAAAAGAAAAAAATCTGTTCCTTCCCTATGTTCACAAATGATACATAGCAAGATACTTTTACCCAAGATACTTTTACCCAAGAGATACATAGCAAGTCACTCCTAACACTTCCTATGACCACCACAAGGTCTTCCAGTTTAAGCATTATCATCTTCACCCACTGTCACCATTTTAACCATTCTATTTGTATATCATCTTGTAAAAATGCAAATCAGAGCATGTCACTGCTCCAACTCAAATCTTTCAATAGCTTCCCATTGCATTTTGGATAAAACCTAAACTCTTCAACATGGTATACTAAACCCTGGACCTTGGTCACCTTGCCAACATCATCTTGGATCTCTCTCACATGTGATTCATTCATTGTAGTCCACAGCTCTGAGCATATTTCAGTTTCTGAAACTTCCTTCCCTCACATAGAGACTTCAGTTTTCAGACACACTTCAAACCACTGTTTTTAACTAACTTATTTCTTCCTTCAGGCTTCTGCTAAAAGATTAAAAAAATCCTTCCTTGACCCCCCAATCTAAATTGCATTCTCTCAAAAAACCTGAGCATTGTCTTCAAGACACCTATAAAAAAAATTTAACTACAGTAACTTGGTGATTTTCGTTTGCTTGCTTAGCATTTATCTTCCACACTAATCTGTAAGTTCCATAGGCCAGAAAAATACCTCCATTATTGTTCTCTACTATGTTAAGCAACACCTAGCAGTGCTTAGCACACAAAGGCATTTAATGAAGTTGTATAATAGTAACAGTTTTTGATATTTGTATTCAATCCTCCCCTCTTTCTATGCTCTCTGTTTTTTCTTAGGAATGAAGTTACTGGGCAGCCACAGATGATTTCTGCAAATGAGATACAGCACTTAACTCTATCTTTTCCTGCTAATTTATATTACAAAATCAGAGATGTATAGTACAACTTTCCTTTAAAATTAACAATGAGGACAGCTAACACTTAGCTTAAATTCATTCACCCTTATCTAAACATTTAACTCTAAGAGAAATACTGAGTTATTTTTAAAGAACCCTGTAGTAACTTCCTGGCCTCCAATTACTAACATGCCAATAACCCCCAACACCCATCTCAGTAAATCTTACCCATATCACCATACTCACACTATCACTTCTATCCAGCCCCATAAGTTCATGATTACATTATCTCAACAACTCATCTCTGCTCTCCTATGCTCAACACCCCATTTTAGGTCCATTTTGTACCAAGAGCACTTAGGGAAAAAAATGTCCCCGACTCGAAAACCAACTTCTGATTATCAATCAACATTAAATTCCTCAGATTAGCACCAAAGGCTTGTTATGGTGATGCACGTGATCAACAAGCCAATCCTAGGTTTTAGTAAAAACTTGGGAGGTTACCTTGAATTAGTTACATGAGCCTGACAATTTGTCACTGTTTCAAGCTAAAAACTGACATATGGCTCTCCCTCATTTCTACAGACCAAAGTTGGGATCTGCTTAGCGCAGACTCCTAACACTAAACAGTTTTTGAGAAAAAAACTGAACTGCCTCACTGTGCTATCAGTCCTTTAAACTTTGAGGAGGAACTAAAAAGGTGCAACTTGTATTTGCAAACATTTATGTGCTTATGATGACACAAAGATATTATGATACAATGTATATGTTTCATAGATAAAACTACTTTTAACAGTTTAAACATACAACCTATCCCTGAGAATCTGCTTTTTAAATTATACACATAATAATGTGCATACACATATATACCTATAACAATGGTTGATCCTCATTATTTGGGGACACTGTATTTGCAAATTCATCTACTCATTAATATTTGTACCCCCAAAATCATTACTCATGACACTTTCACTGTCATTTGCAGACATGTGCACATTGGTGAAAAATTTGAGTCTACTGACATACACATTCTTGTTTCAGCTTACATACTGTAAACAAATGTCCTTTTCATGGTCTATTTAGTGCCACGTTTTTCTCATTTTTGTGCTTGCGAATGGTGATTTCACTGTTGAAAACAGTCCCCAAGCACAGTGCTAAGTGCTGTCTAGTGTTCAAGGAGAAAAGACTACAGAGAAAATAACCAGTGTTAGATAATCCTCACTGAGGCATGAGTGGTAGAGCTGTTGGCCACGATTTCAATGTTAATAAATCAACCAAATATATTAAATAAGGTGTGTTTAAACTGCAATACACACAAAACAAGGTTGTATGTTAATGAGCTGACAAAAATGTTGAGAACAGAGGCTCTCAAGAACCTAACACTGTAGTAGGAGCAACGGTTCAAGATTTGCTAATTCAGTTTTCACAGTGACTTTCTGGAACATAACTAATTATATACAAATAACAAGAGAAAGAGAGACACAGACTGACTTACTGAAAAGATACTACAGAGGTCATTATGAGTAAGCTACCAATGTTTGTAGGAGCATGGCAAAAACACTTCAGGGCACAGAATCTGTTAGGTCTTCCTGGCTCTGTTTAAACAACTTAGGCCAAAGCAAAAAAATGCAAAATCTACCAAGTTTGTGTTTCGGGTTGTCTTAGCTTCTACCACTTTTCCTACTCAATGGTAAGCCTCTCCCCAAATCAAGTACTCTAAACTTTAATGCATTTTCACAAGCATTTGGCCCAATTTTACAATCAAGCACACCCATCAACTATTGATTAATCACACTTAAATGTGAACTAGACTTGTGCTTAAACATCTTGGCTAAATTGCAGCATTATTTATTTGGAAGGGAGAGGGGATATTAAGCAACTGAAATAAGAACAGACCAGCCAGGATCAAAAAGTAAACTGATTATACATAGACAATTCCAGTTGTGAGTGTGCTGGAGAGAGAACAAAAATACACAAGGGAAGAAAACCTAGGCTTTGGCCTCCCCTCCAGGATATTAAAGCTGGGGTATAGGATGGAGAAGTCCCATCTTCCAAAAGGATTTCTTCAGCCCTTGCATCCTCCTAGCACTTGACTATTGATTTTTCAAGAGAAATGATGAATTTATGGTAAAACTCAATATGGAACACTCTAACAGTGACATTAGCGCTTGAAACAAATTTTCATTCTTTGCTGTGGTTGAATCAACTCTCCTTTTGAAATTCATCTTTATTTTTTATTTTCCAAAGTTTTTTTTTAATTGAAAATGGTTTGCTTAGGGTAGTGATAGGATATGCTTAGGGTAGTGAGTGATACAAATTCAAAATCTAGTTTGTGAAATGTCAATATATATATTTTTTCTATTAAAAAGACCCATCTGGGATTTAGTGGAATGAAGTGAGCGTTAACACTACCCAAGCTACACTTCAATTAGTTACTAAAACAATTCAAAGACAATATATGACATTTGACTTAATAGACATGTGTTCTTAACACCTAAAACATATTGTAAACCAACAATTGAAATTCATGTGTAATAAAGAGCTAGAAAACTTTATAGTATAGTAAATCTTTTATAGACCACTCACCACATATTCATTCTTGTGAAAAACTAAGGATCCTCCTTCTCCCACCTCTCTAAGTTTCGGCTAAGATCATTATTCTGAGCAATGATATGTACACCTGAATAATTCACAATTTCTTTCTCTTTCGAATACTTTATACAAAAATCTTCAGGTTTTTCTCTTGTGCTAATTTACCGTTGTTCACAGCATTTCAAAAAATACGAGTGGAACTTCAATCTACTCTTTTCAAACCACATCAACGTCTCTCAGAGAACTGAATCCACTCTTCGATTTCTTTTATCTTAACCATAGAACTTACAAGGGCCATTTATCAACAAAATGTATTTCTTAAGAATTTTTTAAGGTTTTTATTTTTTAATATCATTTTGCAATTAAAAACTCACAGACCAATGAAGCATGCAGTACACAGGGAAAGTGTTTTCTACAAGGCAATTATACCAGAAATACAACACTAAAGTCTAAGTTCTTCTTTTAATATGGAATATTAAAAGAAATAAATTTTTCTTTTAATATGGAGTATTAAAATAAATTCTTTTTGTAAGTAGACTTCTGCCTACCGTCATAACCTGCTCCAGATCCTGAAGAACCGACCGCAAAACTTCACAAGTGAAAATTAACCTGCTTTCATATCACCTTTTAAACCACTATCAAAGTCATATTGAGAGGGCATGAATTACACCTTGTCCAACAGAGAAGATTCTAAATAACAAAGATAAATGGGCTTCAAATTTACCTGTTTCCCAGTGCAACCTACTAACTGAATTTAAAGGATCACCTCCAACATGCACACATGCACACATATACACTGTTTTTCAACAGATGGCTGAGCTGCAGCAAACCCGGGATCGACAACAGGGGCTTTAGGGTCCTATGCCCTGCAGCGCGGGTGGAGGCTCGGACGAAGAGGCCAACGCATGACACCCGTCTGAGCCACAGCTGGCAGAACAGAGCTTCAATCCTGTTTGATCTGACCCTCTAATGAGTCACTGTCCCAATCATAACACCACCCCACTTCCTAGCGCGTCTTCTATCTATTTTCTCGCGTCAAAACGGATAGAAATTGACTTAAACTCGGCATGAGAGAACTAAACTCGGCATGAGAGAACTGTGCACCGGCCAGAGCTGCCAGCGGCAAGAAAAGCCAGCTGAAAAGAGAAAGCCCGAGCCACTCTTTTAAGAGCCCCGCTGGCCCGGCAGCGGAGGAAGAACGGCGTACAAGAGTCAGTGCAGAGGGCGAAGACCCGGAGAAGCCGCCGCCACACCCCAGCCCTCCCTCACCTGCCTGTCCAAGCCTCCCCGGGCACCCGTACCTTCGGCCAGCGACTCTTCCAGGGTGACCTGGTAGCGGCCGACCGCGAACACCCGGACCCCCACGGACGAGCCGCCGGAGCCACAGCTGGTCACAGCGCCGCCAGCCCCGCCACCCGCCGCTCCGCCGCCGCTGCCGCCCTCCGACTTGGGCATCCGAGAGAACTTCTTCATGGTCCCGCCCGCGCGGGGAGCGCGCAAGGGCGACCAAGAGCGCGAGTCCCCAGCCCAGCGCGCAGCCGGGCGTCAGGGAGGGGTCGCCGCCCCGAGCCGGTCCGAGCGTCCGAGCGCGTTGCGGCCCGCCAAGCCTCACATTCCGTGCTCCCCGAGCGCACAGCCCCGGCCCCGGTCGCCCGCTCCGCGGCTCGGCTGCAGCTGCCAGGCTCCCGCAGACGGCGGTGGAGAGGGCGGGGACGGGACGGGACGGGGCGGGGCGGGGCACGAGGGGGCGGGTCCGAGTGCAGAGGCAATGCCGCCGCCTCCGCTAGTGCCCTGGGCGTCCCCGCTGCCTCACTCTGCGCCTGAAGCGCGCGAGCCCGGGTGGAGGGAGGGAGCAAGGGAGACGGGGAAGGGGGCGGGGCGGCCGGCCTCTCCAGGCAGGAGGCTGGACGTCTCAGGCCGCAAGCTGGCAGGACCGCAGCCCGCCGCACCGCCGCTGCCCCCGTCAGACCCGAGTCGCCCGCCACTCGCGGCCGTTGACGGGGCAGCGCTGCCGCCAACCGCTCACTGAGGCTGGTCGCCCAGCGCAGGCGCGCTGCCCGCGCCGCCGGAAGTGACGGTTCCGCCTCTTGTCACGTGGAGGGGGACCACGGGAGGTGATTGTGGGGGTTGGGGACGAGGGCAAAGTCGGGGATCCTGGGTCCAGGGTTGCGCCGGGAGGGTACTGGCTAGGCCCGGCTTCGGCCTGGGAGGTGGCCCAGGGACTGGCTCCTAGTCCAGCGCCCTGATCCATCATCTCGCCTGAGAGTCGCTATGTCACTCTCGGGGCTTAAAAATGCCGCCAACAACTTTACCTCTGCTAAGGAACTTCTCGCTTCCTTTCTTAGCCAGTTGTTCAGGCCTTCTCCCCTGAGAACCTTCTTCCGCTCGCCCACCCTGACGTGGGAGGTGGGAGCAGGACGGAACTGGAGTGGATTCCAGTAACTGGGTTTCTAAAGCCGACTCGGTGTTGTCGCGCTCTGTAGCGGACGCTTGTGCTGGGAAGCGTTTTGCAGTTTATAAATTACTTAGGAGTACTTTAAACACCTCACGCCTGCTGTACAACAGCCATATGTGGGTATTCAGAGCAGGTATTAAGGCCGTTTCATAGACCATCACCTTTGGCTAAAAGAACGGAGTCTCCCAAAGTCACAGCTGGTACGTGGTAGTTAGGGACCATTATTTGATTCATAATTTTGTGCTTCTGGCCGTCCTGAAAAAGTAGGTTAGGGTCAGATCGTCGAAAAATGGGCAGATATAGGGCTGTTTGGAAGCAAAAGCAACCACTGTGTCCCCTTCTTGAAGAGATTCGCCTCCCCCCAACCAAAAATAAAAAAGCCTCGTTGCATCAGTTTCATAAACCGCAGGAGTCTCCTGACTGCAGGGCGAAGCAGTAAAACAAATACGGGTGTAAAACGTTTCAGGATTGGTAGGTAATAACAAACTGTAGGACATGTGTAAAGAGAGCAGCCAGTTCTCAGCTGCAGCCTACTTTTCCACAAAAGAAGATAGCACACACACTGTGCTCAGAAGTTCCAGTTTCTTAAGAGAACCAAAAACCTGGAACTTTTTTCTAATGTGGCATTTCCCAAATTTTTAAAAATATGGACCAAATAAATTGTGTGTCCAGGACTCCAGTGTGCACCTTCTTTGAAAGTAGATGAATGTGCTTCTATCTCCACCCCTATTTATTGCTTTTAATGAGATAACGGGTAGAAACATTAAAAAATGTGCTTAGACAAAAACTTCGAGCTTAAAATCCTTGTTCTTTCTTCTCTGCTATCTGTAGAGAAGCTATTTCTGCCAACACTAAAACAGGATTTAGGCATTTCTGCTGCATAACCCACTAAACTAAAATTCTTCATCCAGAGACCTGACCTTTAAAGTACATTCCAGCTCAATGGAAGTGAGATTATATGTCAGATGATTGATGTGGTGTGGCAGTTGGGGATTTCCATTTAGAACCAAGCTGGCCACTTTGGTTGCTGTGGGGCTTCATTATGGAGTCTCATTCTTACATTTGAATTGTTTTTATAAGCAGAATAATAGAGAGATTAAGTCATTTCATACAATTCAAAACTGGAATCAGACAAACATACAAAGTTTGGGCCTGATATAAATTCACCTGATCACAACAAGCCTGTTATAATAAATTTGAAAGTTTACGAGGATCACTTGAAACCAGGAGTTCAAAACCAGCTTGGTCAACATAACAAAACATGACAAGACTTCATCTCTCAAAAGAACATGAAAAATTTTAGCCATGCGACCAGGCATGGTGGCTTACACTTGTAATCCTAGCACTTTCGAAGGCCGAGGTGGGTGGATTATGAGGTCAGGAGATTGAGACCATCCTGGCCAACATGGTAAAATGCTGTCTCTACTAAAAATACAAAAATTGGCTGGGTGTGGTGGCATGCACCTGTGGTCCCAGCTACTCAGTAGGCTGAAGCAGGAGGATCACTTGAACGAAGGAGTTCGAGGCTGCAGTATGCTATGATGGCTCTGCTGCACTCCAGACTGGGTGTCTCTAAAAAAACAAACAAACAAAAAAAAGTTTGATCTGTCAAAGTGGGTTAGGGTATAATCCCAGTACTTTGGGAAGCCAAGGCGCATGGATTGCTTGAGCTCAGGAGTTCAAGACGAGCCTGGGCAACATAGTGAGACCCGCCCCCCCGATCTCTACCAAAAATACAAAAATTGGCTGGGCGTTGTGGGGCGGCACAGGCCTGTGGTCCTAGATACTTGGGAGGCTGAGGTGGGAGGATCACTGGAGCCAGGGAAGTTGAGGCTGCAGTAAGACATGATGGCACCAACTGCATTTCAGCCTGGATGACAGAGGAAGACCCTGTCTATAAATAAATAAGTCAGTTTACAATTGATGTGGTAAAGATTACTTCTATGAACTAGTGCAACTTGACTTTTGATATTAAAATGTATAATTATAATAAATATATAATTAAATGTGTAATAATATATAGACCCCCTCTGAAAGACTAGAATAACACCAAGTAATATGTTCTTTGATTTTTTTTCACCAAGCATGTGACAAAATTTGGATATACTCCCAACTTCATAGAACATTAATGTCACAATATTCTGTAACAGCCAATAGCAAGAATATAACTTAAAAATACAAAGACTACTAAAAATCAAAGCATTAGCAAGGGGTGGTAGCGCACACCTATGGTCCCAGCTACTCTGGAGGCTTAGGCAGGAGGATCATTTGAGCTCAGGAGGTTGAGACTGCAGTGAGCTGTGATCACACCACTGCACGTCAGCACTCAAGCCTGGGTGACAAAGCAAGACCCTGTCTCAAAAAAAAAAAAAAGCAAAAATATTGTAGAGTTGTCTGCCCTATTGCCCTTATCCAGGAAAGATACATTCCAAGACTCCCAGGGGACACGAAAGTGAGGATAGTAACCAAACCATATATATATAATTTTTTTATATATACATACCTTTGATAAGGTTTAGTGTATACATTAGGTACAGTAAAAAGTTAATAAGTAATAAATTATAACAATTTCATGGATGGAAGATTCATTTTTACTACAGATCTTAGCAATCTCAGCGTATGATTTTTTTTTAAGTTAAGTTGAAAACTTCACCTTTTCATTTAAGGAAAGCACTTTATGGCTTCTTTTTGGCAAATTCGAATTGCCAGCATCATTACGCTTGCACTTGGAGCAATTAGTAAGTAAAATAAGGGTTCCTTGAGCACAAGCACTGTGACAGTGGATCTGAAACCTGACAAGGCTACTAAGTGACTAACAGGCAGATAGTGTAGACAGCACAGATATACTGGGCAAAGGGATGATTCACCTACCAGTGGGGCTTCACAGAACAGCATGCAATTTGAAATTTACCAATTGATTTTTCTGGAATTTTTCCATCTAGTATTTTTAGACCACAGTTGACCAGGATAACTGAAACTGAGGAAAGTGAAACCGTGGGGATGGGGGATTACTATGTTACTAGTAACAAGAAGACCAAACATTTACAACACTTTTACTACCAAAAGATGTTGGCATCTGTTGTTAAATCATATTCTCCTAGCAAATTTGTGAAATAAGAATATGTAACCTGAAATCAATTTTTAGGCAGAAATTGAGACATTAAGGGCAGACTGTAACCAGTAGAAAAAACATATTGAAAATTCTAGTCTTTCAGATTTTTACAGAAAATGTTATAGGCATATATTAATTTCTCATTCTTATACATTAAATTAATTTACTGGCTTATAGTAGATTAAGCATTGTAAAGACTTTCATTTTAATGAATCATGTAATTCCTGGACATAATAAAATACTTTTCTTGAATTAAAAACCTTTGTAATACACTAGCTAGTGCTTAGAACATACTAAATGCTATGACGTGATCTGAAGATTCAAGAGATAAATGCAGAAGTCAAATCCCAGACCCCAAAGCAAACTTTTGTATCAACATACAATACTAAACATATAGTATCTTTCCTAATGAATAGATTATTAAAATCTGTGCTTATGATTTTAAGAGGTTCCATACATTTTTTACCTCTCACACTTTTAATGAGTCAATATAGCAGAATATTTCTGTACTGTAAGTAAATATATCTTTTCCAGATATTCTTGTATGTGGGTGAGTGTGTGGTTACAGTTTGCTAATTTTCCTCAACATGTAGGGGAAGGATTACTGAACCTAACTGCATCACAGGACACATACTCAGAGTGTCTTAATCAACATTATTTGAATTTGAAGGCAAAAAGAATGGGCTCAGTGGTTCTGAAGCAGAAATTTTAGTGAATACAAAGATGCGGGAAGGCCAGGCCTAGTATCTTACGCCTGTAATCCCAGCACTTTGGGAGGTGAAGGCAGAAGGATTACTTGAGCCTGAGAGTTCAAGACCAGCCTGGGCAATATAATGAAACCCATCTCTATAAAAAATTTATAAATTAGCTGAGTATGGTGGTGCATACCTGTAGTTCCAACTACTCAGGAGGCTGAAGTGGATCACTTAAGCCCAGAAGGTAGAGGTTGCAGGGAGCCAAGAACACACCACTGCACCATTGCTAATGTTGAAAAAGGAAATGTTTCCAATGTGTATATCCAGGAAAACTCCCTTGTGTATTTGGAGTTCCATGCACAGGGCAGTCTCAGGCAATGTGTTGGTGGAGATGTAGCTGCTGTTTCTCTTACTTAATAGTCTAAATTCCAAGTTCTATGTACAGTTGTACCCTTTCTTATTGACAAAGAGATTGTTTTTTTGCAATTGTCCAGATGCCATTCTTTGCATGTTTCTAACCACCTCCCAGTTGTAGTGACCAGGTGAACCAAGGTGAGCCCAGTGCACCAACTAATCTTTTGGTGCATTCTTTCAGCTTTTGTTTGATACTTCCACATTGGGCATTCTCAGATCCTCAGAAATGATGACATTATTACTGTGTCGATATCCCACATCATATCCAGTTTTCTGGTTTATTATAAAAGATATATAACTCAGGAACAGCTGCCTGGATGAGATGGAAAAGGCAAGCTATGGGAAGTGGTAGTGCACAAAGCATCCATGCCCTCTCAGGATGCACCACCCTCCCAGCACCTCGATGTGTTCACTGACACAAAAGCACCATCTTCTAGTTTTACACTCATTATTAGACCATGAAAGAACATCCATTTTGGCTTCCTGTTGCAAAATGAAATCTATACCAAAAACAATAAATGTAGATAATTTGATTCTGACCATCTTAAACAAGAGCATTGAGGTGACTTACAGTCAAAACACAGATATAGAATAACTTAATAAAAGTAAAAGAATTATAATTTTATTTCAATTTGTTATAGATACCTCAATCTTAAATATTTATAGCTGTACAGCTATAAAAATAGTTGGAAAGTTGCCACATAATGAAGACTCTTTTTAAAATAGATTGCTTCACTTTAGGCATTTCACATTACACATTTCTGATAAAGTCAATACATCATTCTAGCTAACTACAGGATTCTGAGATCCTTAAACAGGAAGAATTTTGACAATGAGGAAAGGGAAAATGATTGTTATATTTTGTCTTCTGCTGGAAAAATATAACCTAACCCTCATGTGTTTTGCATTAAAGTGGTTCTCAAAAACTTAAGAGAAGTGAGAAAGACTGACACAGATTAAACAAATGTGCTTATCCCAA